GCCATATCACCCTGCAGCCCAAGACCGGTTACTCACTGAAGCTAAGCAGGGCTGAGCCTGGTCAGTACCTGGATGGGAGATCACTTGGGAAAACTAGGTTGCTGTTGGAAATGTTGTTAGTGAGGCCAGCAGGAGCGCTCAACCTGTGGTCTGTGTGAGTCCTAATGGCTCAGAAACAGTGAAGGGGACACTATACTGTCATTAGGCGCCGTTTTTTGGATGAGACGTTAAACCGAGGTCCTGACTCTCTGTGGTCATTAAAAATGCCACGGCACTTCTCGTAAAGAGCAGGGGTTTAACCCTGGTGTCCTGGCCAAAGTCCCTCTATCGGCCCTTACGATCATGACTTCCCTATTATCCCCATCCACTGAATTAGCTCTATCGCTGTCTCTTCACTCCACCAATAGCTGGTGTGTAGTGAGCGCACTGGCACCATTGTCCTGTGGCAGCCGTCACGAGACAGCATGCAAAGAAAATAAATAAATCAGCAGCTAAAGGGGGTCATGCAATGCAGTGTCATGCATTTTAGAATTCTAAATATAAACTTACATCAGTGTACGCACACCAGGGCCTCAAGTTGCCGGCTGTCCACAGTGCCCAGCTACGACTTAGGACACTGTTTTTTCTGCCACGCCGCAGAGTGCCATCTGAACAGTTTACTTAGCATGCGAATGTGCGCGTCTGGTGTGTGATACTTCTAACTGTCATGTGCTGTCATGTGCACGTTGTCGTGGCGCTGAGCAGCGCATCCGGTGTGCGACCCACTTAAGCATAAACCCTTGGAATGGATTATTAAATTATCTGACATATACACATGAGCAAATCCTTCTGGGTGGGACAGAAATATGGTACGTAAATGCGGCTTTGTTTATGGTTTGTACGTGTGCAGCACTAGTTCCCATTTCTTATGGAATGACAATACAAACACAGCCCCCTGCAAGTATGGAAATATACAACATCTCAAGCTTTTGACACGCTATTGAGCAATTACAAGCCAATCTCAAATCTTCCTTTCACTGGCAAAATCATTGAAAAAGTAGTTTTTAACTAGGTTAACAAGATCTTAAACTTCAAGGGGTGTTTAGACAATTTTCAATCTGGTTTCAGAGCACATCACAGTACAGAGAGCGCTCTTATAAAGATAATCAATGACATCTGCCTAAATACAGGCAAACTAACTGTGCTGGTACTGCTTGATCTCAGTGCTGCATTTGACACTGTTGATCACATCATACTTCTGGAGAGGCTGGAAAACTGAGTTGGTCTGTCCTCAAATGGTTCAGATCTTACCATGAAGGGAGAGGTTACTATGTGAGTAAGGTGACCATAGATCAAGGTGGACACCCGTGACATGTGGAGTCCTACAAGGCTCGATTCTAGCACCTCTGCTGTTTAACCTTTATATGATTCCTCTGAGCCAAATAATAAGAAAGAACCAAATCTCCTACCACAGCTATGCTGATGACACACCACAGAGATGAGGTTCTTAAGGTGAATGCTTACCTTGGCACTAAGGGTCAAACGACAAAAAATAAGATCAAGAATCTTGGTGTGACTCTGGAGTCAGATCTGAATTTCAGTAGTCATGTCAAAGCAGTTAGTAAATCAGAATACTATCATTAAAAAAAATTGCAAGACTTAGATGTTTTTTTTTCCAGTGAAGACTTAGAGAAACTTGTTCAGGCTTTTATCAGCAGTAGAGTGGATTACTGTAACGGCCTCCTCACAGGCCTTCGCAAAAAGACAGTCAGTTACAGCTCATCCAGAACGCTGCTGCCAGGATTCTGACCAGAACCAGAAAAACAGAGCACCTCACACCAGTCCTCAGGTCTTTACACTGGCTCCCAGTTACATTCAGAATAGATTTTAAAGTATTATAACTTGTCTATAAATCACTAAATGGCCTGGGACCTAGGAGTGAAACATACAGAGCAAGGCAGCATGGAGCTCATTACCAGGTCCCTGTACCCAAAGGTCATCAGGAGACAAGGGATGCATCTCAGTCAGCACCCTAAAGACGTTGTGAACTAGTATATCATGTACACAGATTCAGGCACTGGGATGTGGCATTGGCTCACTACAGTAGGTAATCTAAGAACGTCCTCATTGTAAAACTAGTGCTATTTATAGCACTGAACTAAAATTCTACAGACATCTGTATTCAAATTCTGAGTTTCAAACCTGCTAATTGTGAGACAAAGTCTACAGGGTCTGAATTTCAACTTTCTGGAATGCTTTAAGAGTTTATCATAGATCAAGGATGGCTTGGCAACTCAGTAAAGCCAGTCATTGTGAAGGGCTGTGAAACACTACCTTCCTGAAAGAGAACTTGGGTTTAAAACACACCCTTCCAGCCTTTGTTCAAAGCTGGTTTCATTCCATGTTTTGAAGAAACGTGAAAGAGAACGCCAAGACATTTTCTCTAAGGTAGGTGTACTGTTTTCTAATCGTTTATCCAACAAAAAATTCACATTCATTAAAAAAAACTGTGTTAGTGACAAACCTGCATATTAGCATTCAAACAAGCACATAAATATCCACAAAATAAGCTAATTGAGTCTTGTCATTTCAGATAGCATCCTAGTCTTTACATATGTTCAAGTTTTTTTTTTTTTTTTTGTCTGTTTACAAAAGCATGCCATTTGGACGATGGGGATCTACTTTAACTCGTTTTCTAAATTGGGTAAAATGGAACCACTTAAGAGTAATTGGGTGCATACTTACAGATTGGCATCAGCTTGATGTACACAAAGCGGTAAAATAACGACCTTTCTTGCATAATGACCTTTGTTACTTCCTTTTATACCAACATACCAACTCAGCAGCAATACTGAAAACATTTATTGCCTGATTATTTGAAGAATTTCCAGAATCCGTCTTTGAGCTGGCTTTTACAGATAATCGCTAGACTGGGATTTTACTTTATTATACATAACAAATGATACCTTCATTGTAAATTCCAAACATTATATTAAGATTAGTCATGTTTATAATGTACCGGTGTATTCTTCAGTAAGTAAATTAAATTCTTGGAATTTTTTAATATATTTTTTTATGCAAATCTATAAAAAAAAATACAAAATAAAAATAAAAATATAGCTCTGTTCCAAAACTGATGGGTTTCGCTATGGCCTACATTGTAATCATGAGGAAACCTCATAAGTGACCCATTTGGAGTGCTCTACATAGGAGGAAAGCCTGTGTGCCACACAAATTGCTTTCCACAGGGTAAAAATGTATTTATTTGTTTATTCATTTTGATAGCGTGCAGAAGTCAGGTTCTGGAAGAAAAAAATACCAATTTTTTTTTTTTTTTTTCATGAGAGAATATTTTTAATGGAAACCTATAAACCTACTTTGAGCTGAAATCCATTGATAGTATTTGCATTTGTTGAAACCATCAAAATGCAATTCCTGGTGAAAAACCACATTGCATAATTCCACAAAAATCTATACCAATCAAAAAATTGTGGCAAGGAAATACCATTAAAATAATCTATTGATGTTCACTCATACTCGTGAAGGGTTCTCTCAAGGGCATTTACACACATTTTTTAAATAAAAGCATTGTTTTATTCTATTTGAATAAAAAGGAATTATTTTTATTGTGGTTTTGAAACTTTATATATATAGGTAAAGTCAGAACTATTAGCCCCCTTTGAAATTATTTTCTTTTTAAAATATTTCCTAAATGATGTTTAACAGAGCAAGGACATTTTCACGTATTTCTGATAATATTTTTTCTTCTGGAGACAGTCGTATTTGTTTTATTTTGGCTGGAATAAAAGCAGTTTTTAAATTTTTAAGAATCATTTTAAGGTAAAAAAAAAAATGTATAGTCCTTTTAAGCAATTTTTTTTTGATAGTCTACAAAACAAACCAATGTTATACAATCACTTGCCTAATTACCCTAATCTGCCTAGTTAAATTAATTAAACAAGTTAAGCCTTTAAATGTCACTTTAAGCTCTATAGAAGAGTCTTAAAAATCTCTAGTCAAATATTATTTACCTTCATCATGGCAAAGATAAAATAAATCAGTTATTAGAAATGTGTTGAAAAAAAATCTTCTCTCCGTTAAACAGAAATTGGACAAAAAAATAAACAATGGGGCTAATAATTCTGACCAACTGTGTGTGTGTGTTCATATATACATACACTCACTGGCTACTTTCTTCACACCTGACTAGTACCGGCCTGGACCCCCATTTTGCCTTCAGAACTGCCTTAATCCTTCGTAGCATAGATTCAACAAGGTACTGAAAATATTTCTCAGAGATTTTGGTCTACATTGACATAAAAAAAGCAGTTGCTGCAGATTTGTCAGCTGCACATCCCAAAGGTGCTCTACTGGATTGAGATTTGGTGAGTGTGGAGGCCATTTGAGTACAGTGAACTCATTGTCATGTTCAAGAAACCAGTAAGAGATGATTCACACTTTATGGCATGGTGCGTTATCCTGCTGGAAGTAGCCATCAGAAGATGCGTACACTGTGGTCATAAAGGGATGGACATGGTCAGCAACAATACTCAAGTAGGCTGTGGCACTGACACGAGGCTCAATTGATACTAATGGGCCCAAAGTGTGCCAAGAAAATATCCCCCACACCATTACACCAACACCAACACCAGCCTGAACCGTTGATACAAGGCAGGATGGATCCATGCTTTCATGTTGTGTTTCATAAAGTGGCCGGTGAGTGTATATATTCCTGTCTATACACTGCATAAAGCGATTAGTTGACTTCTTTTTTTAAGTGAGTAAACATGTTGCATTTAAAGCAAAAAAAAAATTAAGGAAACCCATTGCCTTAATATTATTAACTAAATGGTCTATGTGAAATTAATAAAGCACTAAAATAGGGTTTACTTACTTTTTAAAGTCAACTTGTCACTTTTAAGGCAATAAGTTAACCCACTGTTCTAAGTAAGCTTTTTAAAGTATATGGACAGACAGATGATGATTGAATAACCATGAAAATACACAGAGCACAAAAAAAATTTATGATCAATTGTCAGTTTATATAGCATTAATTTATGAATATTCAACATATCTTTCACAATCTTTATAGATTGCTTCACTGAGGTATATAGCAATGCAATAAGGGTTGCTTTTACCATGAATGGTGTTTTACCATGAATGGCAGCTAATACAAAGTGTCTTAGGAGGCACTACATTAAGCGGACAATTTTTGAACAAATTTTGTCAAATGGTGCAAATACAGCTGAAAAAAAAAAACATTATAATACTCTTTGACATCTTCTCTGGATTTTCATTTATATGTTTGAATAATGTGTTATTTATTCATTTTTTTCGCAATTTCTTTTAAATGGACAATTCACAAGTCATAATGGCAATGTTTTAATATCAGAAGAGTTAAGAAATCAATATTTGAGTTTCCAAATAAATCAGGAATCCTGACTTTTAGTTGAAAGCATTTTTTTTTTCACCAATTGCCATTGTTAATGGGAAAAATGCTCTTAATTACAATATTTTAAAAACTAAAATTGGAATAAATGTTCTTAGGTGTTTATATAATAAAACAAATGTTACAATTATTTGTAGTTTACTCTAGTTTCCCCCACAGTCCAAAGGCATGTGCAACCCAAGCTCATTCTGGAAACGTAGCCCCGTGGACGTTTCTGGAGACCGATAAATACGTCCCTGGAGGTACGTATTCGTGCAGTTTTTGTTTTCGCGAATTAATGAGAGGCCGCTGTGCACGTTTTTTTATATCTCGAACGCCTGTTCTTGTGTAAAGCTGCCAGAGGCCACTGTCGTCCGACCGTCTGTCCGACTGACTGAATGACTGAATGATTGACTGGGCGGCCAGCCAATCACCCGACCCCACCCTCCTTCTCCTCCTTCCCTAAACCCAAGCAACGACTTACAAAAGCCATCCAGAAAAAGAAAAGCCCTCGTCTGATTTTGACCGTGTTTTCGGATTTCACAGCATTCTTGCCCCGTTATGAACTCGTTTGCTTTATTTTTTGGATTCTGTTTTTTCTTACCTGATTTCTGGAACCGCTCTTCACCGAACTCGAACCCAGTTGTCACGGCCAGCTCCCCTCCCCCGGCGTAACACAGACGAGCTAACCGGACAAACTGGTTGCAGCGGGAAAGCCCTCCACATGGAGATGAGCCGTCAGTCGGCGAGCGCGAAGAGGAGCGGCGTCACACCACTTCGTAGCGTTCGCTTTAAAAACTGAAATGCAGCCATGTAAATTGCGGCCATGTAAATCGCGGTCTCCAGAAACGTCCGCGGGGCTAATTTTCAGAATGAGCTTGGGTTGGACATGTGGTATAGGTAAATAAGATGACGTAAATTGGCCATTGTGTATGACTGTGTGTGAATGAGAGAGTCTATGGGTGTTTCCCAACATGGTGCATTGCGGCACATTTGCCAGAGTATTTGGCAGTTCATTCTGCTATGGCGACCTCTGATAAATCAAGTACTAAGCCAAAGAAAAATGAATGAAGAAACCATAACTAATAAATCAAATAAATCCAGAGAGACTGAGAGATGTCAAGTGGTCTCTTTAGAGCCTTGTTTATATCTAGTGAACACAATAAGGGCTGTATCTAAGGCATGAGTCTGGGTAATGGGTCAGATTTCTTTTTCACTGTTCATGCTATTAATTCAGATGGATCCACTGGCACAAGTACATAAAGCGAGAGGCACTGGATATGCTGCTGTGACAGTCCTCGTGGGTTTAAAAACAGCTTCAAAACAACAAATGTTTTGCAGTCGGGTCACGGAAGGCTAGCAAAGCGAGAAGCGTCTGGAGTTGATGTTCATCTTCGTGACCCCAATGAGGCGCAGAGGTGAAGAGAGGCCAAAGCCTGGGGTGACGGGTCCATCGCACAGAAGATCTGACAGCTCGTCCCGCTCCTCCAGCCCAAAGGTGGCATCGTTGAGCATTCGGCGGTGCAGGTGACATGTCTGCTCCACTTTAAGTTTATTGATGTCGCCGCGCAGTCGCATGAGCTGCCGAGCCAACTGCTGGTCCTGGATACGCATCTCCATCTGTTAGTGAATGACAAACTCCATAAGGCTTTTAATGCATTTTTATGAAGCATAACCTTGTAATGAGTGAAACAATATTCACTCACTAAATTTACAAGTGTAGCTGCAAAATTAAGTTATGCCTTAGTGTTCACTGCTGTTTAATGTATTGGAGTTATGTTTGTTGCCTTTGTGTTAATTGTCACCATCACAGTGGTTGGATTTTACGCTTCAAATTGAAACGTGTCAGACTCTGTGCTCGTCTCCAACTCTTTTTATGACCATGCCATTAATTAAAAGCAGAAAGCACTGCTAATCAGCCAACAGCTAGTTTCCAATCAACACGTTGTCACTTTAAAGTTTAAAAGACTGATCAAGTTTTCATAATATGAATACATTTTATAAATATATATTTTTGGTAACACTTTACAATAACAGTACATGAATAATGATCTGTAAATATGTAAACTAAACATTACTTTATTATATATTAATGATGAGTTAATGCATGCCCTGATCATGAACTTTAACGACGTGCAACATGAGTCACATGTTAGTATGTTTTTTGCTAATTAATGTGTTAGTTATCATATTAGTTTATTCTTAATTTAGCCATCATGAACTCATGATATGTTCACGTATAATTATATCATGACTTTACTTAAAGGGGCACATCATCCTTAACCCATTCTTAACTAGCCATGAACTCATTATGCATGTCTGTCCAGTGCGTTTACACTGAATAACAATAGAAGTGTTCAACATCAACATGAACAGTTTAAACAGAGGAGTTCATGAAGGATGGGTTAATGATGATGCGCACCTCCAAGTAAAGTCATGATGACATAACTATACATTAACACCTCATGAGTTTATGTTAGTTACATTTAACTTAAATGTAAATGTCAATTAATACAGTAATTAACATCAAGTAATTCAGTTAGCCATTATTTACACATGAACTCATGATATGTAATGAATAATTATATCATGACTTTACTTGGAGGGGCACATCAACCTTACCCCATTCTTAACTACCCATGTACTCCTTATGCACGTCCGTCTAGTTCATTTACGCTGAATAACAAGAGAAAAGTGTTCAGTCAACGTCAACATGAACAGTTTAAACATGAAGGATGAGTTAATGGTGGTGTGCCCCTCCAAGTAAAGTCATGACATTATTATACATTAACACCTCATGAGTTCATGTTAGGTACATTTAGCTTAAACTTCGCATGAACTCATGTCAGTGGCGGATTTAGGCATGGGCAATATGGGCGACTGCCCAGGACTGCATCTTGCTGGGGGCGGCACGGGAAGACAAAAAAGTGCTCCAGTAAAAGCTTTGAGATAAGAATTACTTTATGCAAGTGTATAGAGTGGTTATCCTAGAATAAAGACGTTAGGGGCCATTCACATTTGCCGTCTTTTGCACTCGCAAGTTTGTTATTCTTTATGTGCAACCGAAACAATGCTGGTGAAAACAAATTGACGCATGTGTGCAGAAAGTCACTCACACGCGCTGATCCCGGTTGTTTACAAGAACACAGATATGGGTCGACATGCAAGTCAACAAAACTAAAGTTTATATAATATGATGATGATGATACTTCCACTAAGCAAGGCTATGAAGCAGTAAAGAGGAATAATGAGTCAGGGAGGTAACTATAACATCATGATATTAATTCTTGGCCATGATTCTAAGACAACAGATAATTCTAGGCTGGGTCAGTTGGCATTTCTGTGTGGAGTTTGCATGTTCTCCCTGCGTTCACGTGGGTTTCCCCGGATGCTTCGGTTTTCCCCACAAGTCCAAAGACATGCAGTATAGGTGAATTGGGTAGGCTAAATTGTTCATAGTGTATGAGTGTGTATGGATGTTTCCCAGAGATGGCTTGCAGCTGGAAAGGCATCCGCTGCTTAAAACATGCTGGATAAGTTGGCGGTTCATTCCACTGGGGTGACCCCAGATTAATAAAGGGACTAAGCCAAAAAAGAAAATGAATGAATAATAATCAAATTGTTATTTTTATTGAAAATAAATACAAATATTTCAATGTATTTGTAATCATTATTTTTAAATGTATATATTTTAAATATATATTTAAATATTTTAAATATATATAAAAGTCAACCTCATAGTGTCTTTATTTCTTGAGGGATGGAGGAAGGGGGATGTTTGAGGTGGTTTCGACCAGGGTGCCATTTAAACTATTACCGTCACTGACTCATGTTGTAGTTAAAGTTAGGTCATGATCAGCACACGCCTTTACTCATCATTCATTCATAATAATGTTTAGTTTACATATTATTACATTATTATTCATTTACTGTTAATGTAAAGAGTTACCACATTTGTAATTAAAATTGTAAAAAGTCAAAGCTAGTATTTTAAAATTGAAATGGTTTTAATTATGTATAAGCCATGCTAAAACACGCCAACAGCATGCTAGCATAATGTTAAAGTTTGCCATAGATACACTAGATATCGCATAGGGACCCTGAGCATGCGTCAATAGCGCCGCCACATTGGTACAGTGCTCCCAGGACAAATGTCATTTAACCGCACTAGACAGTGTTATTACGTGAAGATGCAGGACTTTAGCGCTGTCTACGGGTGTAGTAACGAGCAAATATTAATTTTTTTTCTGTTTTTGTATGTTCTGAACTTTTGTGCTAATCAGGTAACGTTATTAATGATAACAGTCACTTACTGCAGTCAACATAAGGCAAAGCAGCTCCAACTCGCACTAAACACTCGGCTTATGCTAGTTTTGTTTAATAAAATCAGCAAACAATGCAAAAGAAATATGACAACGAGATGCTGCGCTGCCAGAAACTTGTATTATTGTCGGCTAACGTTAGTGAAAGAGTCGTTCGGGGGATTCATTCACAAACGAATCGCTCCCTCCATCAGTTTGAGAAGTGAAAGCGGTAGAGGAGGTGTGTTTCAGGACACGGATTAGATTAAATTTAACAGGGAGGGTGAATAGTACATTTCTGTTCACACTAACACAAGCTTTTTGTCAGGAATGCCCGTGCGGTCACTGATCCATCAATGTAGAAAAGTGATGTAAAATTATAATTTTCATAATTAGAAAAAAAAATTACATACTAACATCCAGAAAACTCCCGATCATAGATATATGTGTATATCAAGGTGTATATATCTGGCTTTGGATGGCTAAACAGAAAAATGCTAGCAACATACCAGTTCATGGTTCATACATGCTTGCCATGTGCTAAAATGTTAAAAATCATTATAATGTGCTGATTTCTTTTGCTCAGGAAACGTTTATTTTCATTGATGTTTGCACCTTTATATGTGTGTAAATTGATTATTTTCAGAATATTTCAATAGGAAACAGCAACTTATTTAAGAAGTAAAATGTCAAATGCAACATTTAAAGTTTCTTTATTTTATTAATTGTTTATTAATATCTTATTAGCATTTAGCATAGATGTTTCAGCTTTTCAGATTTAAATATCCGCTCAATTGCTGCTTAACTGCTTAATTGCCACTAACCACTTAAATAAACATGAGCGAGTAGATCCGTCTTTGTTAGCAAACATGCCTTTGTCTATTTCACATAACAAGGGGCTCAAAATTAGGGGTGGAGGGATGCATTATCAGATGTCCCTTTGTGCCACAACTGGCTCTGTTAATGTGTTATTGTCTCCAATTTTCTTTGTACAAATATTTACGGAGGCACACGAGGCGAAGGCAGTGGGAGAGGGGCCTCTGATGTGGGACAGGAGCCTCATTGCGTGCCTCGGCTCTAATAGACTGTGCGTACAAGAATGCCATGATCCACATGACTGAGTGGAAGAGAAGTGATTACACTTACAAGAACAGAAAGAGAGCGGAAACAGAGTGATCGCCTCTAATGCTCATCTGCTCACCATCTTTCCACTCACTTTAACATGAATGACAATCTCGCGCAATCATGTGCTAATGGAGGCCTGCGTTTTCACTCCATTGTTTCATTCAAATTAGCTCACTAATGGGGATGCTATTCGTTTTCTCCGTTTACAGAGAGATAACTGAATGTAGCGGGAAAACATGCTGAAACATGTTAGCCATGTGTTAGAACATACTAGAAACATGTTAGCAACACGTTAATTCATGCTAATAGCATAGTAAATATTAAACGCATGCTCTTAACATGCACTTTCATTGTGTTAAAAGATGTTATGTGTTAAAGATGCTAATTATGTGTTAAAAGATGTTTTAAAAAGCTAGAATCCAAATTATAGCCATGTGGTAGCCTAACAGAATGCTATTTTATGTTAGCAACTAGATAAAATAAAATAACCATGCATTAAAATATGCTTGGAAATGGTAACCCTGCTGAAAAACAGCATATGCTGGTTTAGTAGGTTTTGACACATGGCTGCAAAGTTTTAAGCTGGTTCTTGTTGGCTCTTGCGGATCATGACCTGGAATAAACTGGTTCTTTACTGATTATGTGCTGACCCTAAGCTCGCTTTGACAACCTTGAGTCCAAATTAAATAGCAAATGCTGTACTTAGGGAATTCAAGTTAGCAACGTGATAAACATGCTAAAAATGTTTGCCACATGTACTAAACTGAAGAGCATAGAAGAATCACCAAGAGGCAACACTCCGCTGCTATTTGGGAAACAGCCACTAGATGCCAATAGTATCACATGGCCATTTTGGAATGAAAGTTCCAATAGCAAAACAGTACGGATAACTAACATTAGACAGAATTAATTCAAATGTTGAGTTAAATAGGAGTTAAAATAAGTACATCCCCTTTGAAAAGTAACATTTTATTACAATATTCCAATGAAAACAGACAATTTCCAAAATGTTGACAATAAAGTTTAATACATCTGACATCTAAAATATCTGTTTCACATATAAAATAAAAGTAAGGCTAACGAAATAACTTAATTACTTTTTTTTCATCAAATTAGGGTGAAGCAAAAATGAGTATACACAACAAATACCACATTATCTGGTAGTTTGTATGGCCTCCATGATTTTTAAAGACAGCATTAAAAATCATGAATAAAAATAAATATAAAAATAAAAAATAAACAAATTTGGAGAAAGAAGCTTTTTAGACAAAATTGGAAAAAATACTATGTACCATTATAATATAATACTCCAACAAACAGTACTGTTAATCTATTATCAACATCCCATTTTGAAAGTCATGTTTATTTAATTTGACATGTATTAAGTATTAATACGTATTATGCCAATGCGTAAACTATTAAATTAAAGTAATTTAAAGCAATTTCACCCAAAAATGACAGTTCCAAGAAAACAAGTTATTATATTAAACATTAAGTCTATAAATTTATTAATTCATTCATCTTCTTTTCTACTTTGTCTCTTTATTAATCCGGGTTCGCTACAACGGAATGAACCGCCAACTTATCCAGCATATGTTTTACACAGCAGTTGCCCATCCAGCTGCAAGACATCACTGGGAAACATCCATACACACTCATACACTGCGGACAATTTAGCCTACCCAATTCACCTGTACCGCATGTCTTTGGACTGTGGGGGAAACAGGAGCACGCGGAGGAAACCTACGCGAACGCAGGGAGAACATGCAATTTCCACATAAAAACGCCAACTGACCCAGCCAAGGCTCGAACCAGCAACCTTCTTGTGAAGCGACAGCACTACCACTAAGTGTTGTATTGTCGTCTTTCAGGTTGTACTTTAGCTTTGATGCGTTTTTTAAATAAATAATTTAAAAAACAGCTGCTTGCCATCGAGACACCAATAAGATCCAATAAACGGCCGATCGATTTCACTCCAGAATAGCGGGATCGCTGGGCACTGCTGTTGCAAAGGAACATCCTATTGAGAGTCGCCTCTTGGTGATTCTAAGCTCTTTGACTAAACCAAAGACTATGGAATACATAAGAATCACTCACATACTTTTGAATGGGGAAAAGTGTAACTGTCAGTATGCCAAATAAAGCCCTGCCTTCTAGTACAGGAGCCAATCGGCGATCGCTATATGGCAAATAAAACCCGCCTTCTAGTACATGATAGTACACGCTAACAACATTTTAAAATGTTTGAAACATGCTAGAAACATGCTAATTCATGTTAACAACAGTAAACATTGTAAAACATGCCAGCATAATCTAAAACATTTTTATATAGAAAAAACAAGCAAGCAACATGCTAATGCATGCTAGTGTAACCCCGCCAGTCCTACGCCACCCAACCCGCTCCGGGCTGGGATCGAACCGGCGACCTTTCGCATGGGGCTCTACCAAGGAAACTAAAGACCATGGCCTCTAGCGTCTGTCGCTAGAGCACCTTTTAGAGGTCAGAGGAGTGAGGTTTACCTGCACAGCACACACTAGCTGTCCTCCGTTACACTAGTAATACTAGCAGTGTGCTAAAACATGTTATAAATATACAAACAACATGTTTGTTCATGCTAGTAGCACATACTTAGGCTAGAAATGTGCTTAAGCATGCTAAAAATCTTACAGTTTATTCACCTTATTCTCAGCTGTCGAGTGGGCGCTGCCATTTGAATCTTTTTGTCTCGCGACTTCCGGTCTCATTCACTTCCATTCATTTTTTGACGTTAACAACTGCTCATTACGCTGCTTGATGTTGCAATTTAATATTTTCTTATTATATTAAGCTACTTGGTCTGTGTAGTCATGCAAACATTTGTTTGTTGAGCAAGTAGTTTGGTCATTTTCTGCCGTTTATTATTCCGAGTCATTTCTCCCATAGGTGACTGAATCGGAAGTTCTAAGACAATCGCGAAAACAGGCGCACTTCCGCATTTTAGAATAAGGTCAATAAAGCTGTATCAAAAGATTCCGACAAGGCCTTCTCAAACCAATATGAATGGTTTGTCCCAACACAAATGTTGCTACCTGGTTGTAGTATTTATTTTGTATATATGTTCTAGTTGTTGTTATTGAAGCTATTATTGTTTAGATGTTGTCTACTGAGGCATAAAACTTTTTTCAAGAAAACAACATATGTCCAGTCACCATAAAGTCGCCATGAAATTAAAATGTACATTTAATTTTTATGTATATAGTAGTTCCTGTTATAAATTATGTATCCATGCACTTCATTTTTTGTCAAAAATAATTTGCCCCATCATAAGCACTAATCAAATAAACTAACATTCCCTCCCCCTCGAAATACTTTTTTTCACTTTCTGGCCACATGGAAATCCTTTTTCATATCAGTTGGTGTCTCCTTTCTGCTCTGAATTCATCTATTCTTCAATCATTCTTTATTTTGTTTGAAACACCTTTCTTTTAACAATCTTAACTTCCCTTTCACTGTGATTTTAAAATAATCTTGTCATATAAGGTAAGTCTTGGCCTTGACAGACAGTATGCTATCTATCTATGCTATCTCTTTTTATTTTATTAAAGACATCTGTACATGTTGGTTGCAGCGCAAGAAAGACAAAATAGTCTATATGATTAAGCTTTTTCATTCAAGAATTCCATCAATTTAAGTTGAATTTGTATTTCTTAATTTTGACATCAAGTTTTATCACCTTGATGTTTCTGCTTACGTTTCTTCCTACATTCCCCTACAAAAGACACAAACAGGTTTTGAAACTTTTTGACTCACCAGTTCTTTTCTAAGCCAAACAAGAGCTTCGTCAATATTATCGAATCCTCCGAGGCTTCTAGAAATGAGTCCGTTTCCAGCAGTCATTTGGGAGTCCTCTATGGTTCTCTGAGGTGTCGCTCTGGGCTTCAATCCAGCATCTTTTTCCAGCTCTGTTGACCCATCTGACACCGCTAAGCCTTTGGTGTTTTGAGCCTCCACTCGCTCTTTCCACTCCAGATAGGACGGCCTTCTGGTTTCCAGTCTCAGCTTCTCAGTCAAAGCTTTCAAGTTTCTCAAATGATCATCAGGGGCAACTTCAAGGCCATCAAAATCCTCTATATTAATCTGAGGTATTGAGCTCGCATCCATGGCCTTTTGTGGAAGTGGTAAGTGTGACCAAAAATACACAGCGAAAATCAATTTAGGTGGTCAGATGATCTCATTGCATTGTTTGATCAATAAAGATACGGCAGACCTTTGGATTTGCTTGCGGTTCTCAGGATGGTGTGTCTGTGGGGTTATAAAATAAATCAACAGTGAAGATATTGACTGTCCATTTCCCCAGTCGGATCGTCTTGTTAGAGTAGCCATCCAAACACAGCTTGGTTCCTGGTCCTTTCCTTAAATCAAAAGATACTTAATAAATATTTTTATAATTTTACAGATTGATAAAAAAAAACAATGTGTAGAATATAAATGATTTATGTTTAAAATGTCCATCCATATCAATCAGCCTGTTGTAACATAAACGACACTGTAAAATAGATTTTTCAAAGTTGTACACACACAGACACACACACACACACACTTGGAAATATAAAGTGTACACATTTAATCCAGAGCTTTCCTTGTATTTATGTGTAGTTATAAATTAAATTTACAGATTTAAAACATTTTTTTTTTATAGACCATTTCCAAAATGCAACATTTTGATAGCCGTACATGAGTAAGAATATGATTTATGCAATTGGATCAAACAAAATTAGCCAGGTTTATATATTTATCATGCAACATATTTATTAAACTTGTTTTTATCTATTAAAGCACCCTTTTTAATAAAAAAAAGCATATTTAAAACACATTCATACATTTTAATGTATTGAGTTTAATTGTTTTACAATTAACATAATTATTCTCTGACAAGACATCCCATTTTGGTGTCAGCATCTATAAAATTGGTTTTATATGTAGGAAAAGCATATTAAATGCAAGTAAAACGTTTCATGTTTCAAGCCATTTTTGGAAAAAAAAATTCAAAATATGGGTAAAATTATTAAGCGTAACATCATCACATGTTCATTAAGCGTAACATCATTCAGCATTACATTTTTTTGTGAAAACAATTGTTACATTATGCAACTTATATACTTGTATCATGTAACTTTTGTTACACTGAATGATACTGTGCCAGGTGTCTTCTGTAAATCATGATAAAAATGCAACAAAGGCTCATGGGAAATATGTGCTTCAGCAGCCTATTTTGTTGTGAAATGTTTGTTTATAGTTTCTTGGTAAAATGAATGCTACAGAGCAGCATGATGCCACCAAATTTGGTCCCTTTTCACACTAATGATATTTACAGGTACATTATAGAATTATTATTATTATTTTTGTGTAGTTCTTTTCATAACACCAAATAAATACACTCTCAGAAATAAAGGTAAGTGAGCTGTCACTGGGGTGGTACCTTTTCAAAAGGTACACATTTGTACTTATAGGGTACATATTGGTACCTCAAAAGTACATATTAGTACCTGCACATTTTAAAAGGGACACTTTTGTACTTTTTAGGTATTAATATGTACCCTTTAGGTATTAATTTGGACCTTCAAGATACAGATTTGTACCTTTTGACAGCTCACATACCTTTATTTCCGAGAGTAAAGGGATAGTTCACCCAAAAATGTTATTTTACTCATATATTACTCTCCCATGAGTGGCTCCTTACATTTTTGAGTTTCCTTTTTCTGTTGATCACAAAAGAAGATATTTTGAAAAATGTTGGAAAACTGTAACCATTCACTTCCATATTAGGAACAGCTAAAACTATGGAAGTCAATTGTTACAGGTTGCCAGAGTTTTTTAAAATGACTTCTTTTGTGTTTAGTAGAAAAAAGAAATACCAATAGGTTTGTGACAAGATGGTTGGGTAAATGATGACAATTGTCAGTTTGACAAACTAATTTAAGGAACGTCTATGATTTATAATCGGATATGTTCACCAAATGGACAACGTTTCTGGTGTGATCAGTTTGTTTAGTAGCTCACTTTGTACTGTGTTGCACTTAAGATGCAGGGCACTCAGGTTTGAGTCCAGTGAAACACAATTGCATAAAAGCAATGTAAAATTAGGGTAAAACTACATGGTTAAAATGCACTTGTTCTGTTTGTGTTTAAGTCAGTGGCTTACTAGGTAATGTGTACGACAAGCCTTGCCTTTTTCTGAGAGTGTACAAGAAGGATGTGTATCTAAAACAAATAACAAAATGTACCCTAATTAACATATTTTAGACTAGCAAAAATGTAGACCTCCAGTGGATTTTTCATCTGGAATGTGCAACGAAACATACACGAAGCAACGTGTTTTACCTTTTGCTAAAAATGTAGACCTCTAGTAGATTTTTTTTATTTGAAACCTACAACAAAACACACCCAGAACAATGTGTATTACGTTTCACAAAATATGTAGGATTGAGTATGTATTACCAATGAGCCTGGGGCGACCACATTTGTTAGAGATTAAACAGGACACATTCTAATTCTATGCAAAAATGTCAACCTATATTACACTTTTATTGTTATAATGCTTCAGAATCATGAGACAAATCTTGGTTCAAACAGCACTTTGCTGCTTTCCATTGATGTCTGAAATCACCCTCGAGATCTTACAAAGCTGCCGTTTGCCATAGCAACTAAGCAGAGGCTATGAGTCAGCAGCACTGAAGTCCGTCTGCTCTACAGAACTAAATGTCACTCAGATCTGTGACCAAAGAATATAATACTGCTCAATCACAGTCCCTCAATACTCTAACGCATGCTCCTGATGATAAGACATATTAACTTGAAGTCATTTTCAAGGCATCGGCATTGTGCTTATAATGCAATTACTATCAGGACCACCCAAACTTCCTAGCTGTCTGTCTTGTACTTGTGATATATTGTTTGGCCCATTGCCTTGATGTGTTTCGTCATCACAGCTGCTCTAGGAATGCGACTTTCTCATAAGAGCAGTGGATATTAGAGTATTTAGGTTCTTAATTGTGTGACTCTTGTGGGACTAATCACAATGCTGAAGTTTCGGCTCATTTAGTGCTTTGCTCCACCTCCTGCACTTTTACAGCTCTGTGTGTGGCATCAGTAACGTGACTCATCTCACAGGGAGATCCATTCAACCCAAACCACTCACAGTTTAGTCTGAAAAAATGTGCTTCTTACTTAGACTTTATAACAGGAGACAGGATAAAGATAGTTCATGTTGGAAATATGGGAACGAGACTCAGAGAGGATGAAAAAAATGCATGGAATGTATGAAACAGATTGCAGCGCATCAAGGTTTTGATTAATATTCATATTCATGTGCTGTTTGAATAAGTATGAATATGGAAAAGCCTGTAGGATGGTAAATTTGTCAACAGAATAAACAAGCTACAGAGGTTGCATTATTTCATTGCTTTGAAATATTATTGCAGGTGAATTATTAAGAAAAACATTGATACCCAAGTTTGTCGTCTAATAGAGTTTCTTTCTCTAAAAAACAATCAAATAAGTTGTTTCTGCTATATGCTTGTTACATCCGATGTTTTAAAGTGTTGTCTTGCATTTCATCCATTCATTTTCCTTCGGCTTAGTCTCTATTTCAGAGGTCACCACGGTGGAATGAACCGCCAACTGTCCCAGCATATGTTTTACACAGCGGATTCCCTTCCAGCTGCAACCCAGTACTGGGAAACACTCATACACACTCATTCACTCACACACTGTAGACATTTTAGTTTATTCAATTCACCTATAGTCCATGTCTTTGGACTGTGGGGGAAACCGGAGCACCCGGAGGTAACCTACACAAACACAGGGAGAACATGCAAACTCCATGCAGAAATGCCAACTGGTTCAGCCGGACCTCGAACCAGCGACCTTCTTGTTATGAGACGACAGTGCTCATTACCACAATGACCGCTCATGTGCTCATGACCGCAAACGTGAATCATAATGCGGGATTGTTTAAATGCAGCGTGTGAACATTTTAGGCAGTTCCTTAGCAGTTTTCTTATTTCAGATTCATAAAATTTACATTTTTACAAATTTGAATCATTTGCGAAGCTTTAGAACATGATTTACCGTTGAAGATACACATTTTGACAATGCATCTACATATTTTAAAGCAATGCTCTATTAATCATGCTATACTGATCCCTAATGTCTTACTAGCATTAGAAGGCACTGATTTCATATTTCAGGAAAGTGACAAACATGAGGACAGGCTGCTCTACTGACAGCAAAACTGTGAGTTGAACTGCTTCAAGAAGAACACTATTACCTTGTTCAATTGCTTTTTTGATAAAGCTGCAAGCAGTGCCAAGGTTTCTGCAAGGATTTATATTTCAGTAAGTGTAAGTGTAAGTAAGTGTATGTTTCAGTATGTGTAAGAGAGGATAAAGAAAGTATGAGATAATAAATATAGTGGGGGGGGGGGGTGGGGGGGTTTGACTAGAGATTATTATTCTATTGTATACTGTTTAATTGCTTGGTCAATGTCATTGAGTGTTTTTGCTTCTTTTTATTGTTGGCTGTTGCTGTATGATATATCCAAAATCTTTTGGTGCAGTACTGTAACTGTAAAGCAATCAAAACCTGTCTGAAACTGCTTCAGCTGCATGTTTCCAGGAAAAATAATTACACACGTTAAAATGTATCATCAACGGATCAGAATCAAGCATTCAACCAGCCTGTAATAATATAATATAATATAATATAATATAATATAATATAATATAATATAATATAATATAATATAATATAATATAATATAATATAATATAATATAATATATAAAATGTCAGGCAGTGGCACAGTAGGTAGTGCTGTCGCCTCACAGCAAGAAGGTCGCTGGGCCGCTGATTTGAACCTCAGCTCAGTTGGTGTTTCTTTGTGGAGTTTGCATGTTCTCCCTGCCTTCGCGTGGGTTTCCTCCAGGTACTCCGGTTTCCCCCACAGTCCAAAGACATGCGGTACAGGTGAATTAGGTAGGCTAAATTGCCCGTATTGTACGAGTGTGTGTGTGAATGTGTGTGTGTGAATGTTTCCTAGATGGGTTGCGGCTGGAAGGGCATCCACTGCGCAAAAACTTGCTGGATAAGTTGGCGGTTCATTCCGCTGTGGCGACCCCGGATTAATAAAGGAACTAAGCCGACAAGAAAATAAATGAATGAATAATATAATGTAATCTAATATAGGTGACGCAGTAGGTAGTGCTGTCGCCTCACAGCAAGAAGGTCGCTGGTTCGAGCCTCGGCTGCAGGTCAGTTGGCGTTTCTGTGTGGAGTTTGCATGTTCTCCCTGCGTTCGCGTGGGTTTCCTCCAGGCGCTCCTGTTTCCCCCACAGTCCAAAGACATGCGGTACAGGTGAGTTGGGTAAGCTAGGCTAATATAATATAATATAATATAATATAATATAATATAATATAATATAATATAATATAATATAATATAATATAATATAATATAATATAATATGTGGGGAATGTAAGTATTCTTTATTCTATTTTCATGAATCAAAATGTTTTTTTTGAGTGGTTAACTCTCTAAAGTATTATGTCTAGAATGTTGATCTCAAGTGGAAAATTCTCTATTTTTTCCAGACATAGTCAATGCTCTCTGGCCAAACAGACAGTTTGGACGACCAGGCATGACTGCATTTATCCATGTCTAATTAGATGTGGTGAACCTTACTGTCATATAACTGGAGTGCAAATCTTGTTTTTCTCAGCACAACATTATTTGGAGTAAAAACAAACTTCTCCAGCCAGAATCTTGCTTCAGTCATGAGGAATGGCTTTTCCTAATTGACTAATAATGACTTTCTATTGGAGATGTATGTTTGTTTTCTGCATCTCTTGTCATAACAGCATTTCTTTACAGCCACATAGTTTATTTATTACACGTCATGCTGGAATTATTAACTCAGCAAATTCCAATTGAATGGAATCTTGTTCATGTGTTTAATAACTAATTACTAGCTCAAGACACTCCAGGAACATTAAACTTGTTTAATTCTCAAAAACAATTTCTTACTGTGCTTATAAATAAATAAAGAGTATCCACTTTAACCAGTCAATTTGTGTGTAAACCCATTTATTTATTTATTTATTACTAAACGCCATTTCAAAACTTACTGACCCAGTAAGGGGAAAGGCGAAGTATTAACCAACATAAGTGACTCTTATAAACATTTAATATTCAAATAAATTCCCAGTTCATAAATGCCTGAACATTTTCTCATAAGAAAAAGTCGAGTCTTACCTTCATGGCAGTTTGTCAGGCACTTCGCGTCCTGCTCTTCGGGAGAGCACAATACCTCTGCTTTTACTCTACACACTTGTTTCTTGAATGAGATGAGAGGCTTGATGGAGGAGGGGCGTCAGTTGCGTCAGGTTTTGGTTGTCCTGGAGACCGTAAAGAATCCGCGCAAAGCCGCGAGTACAGCAGCATCTGCCGGATCTCTCAGCAGAGGACAACTTCTTATAAAACAGCCGCAGAGACACTTGCCGCTGTCTTTATGCATCACTGTTAATGTAGGCTTGAGTTTTAAGAGTCATATGGAAATATGTGTGATGATCAGACATTTTTAAAATACTTCCTCCTGAATTTCACAGAAAGAATGCGTAATATAGTGCGTGTTTCAGTTCTTTAAAAATGAGAAGGACCTAACAACACATCACACTGTGTCGTTAAGTCTGTTTCCACATATATTTATTATCCAGGGCTATGCAAATGCAGTATACTGGCTTAATAATTAAACTGCTCGTTAATGACATTTTATTATGTTTGTATGACCTCTGCTGGAGAATGTTAATAATGAAACCTACTCAAGAATAGCCCACGCTTCCAGTGAACACAGGACGTTCCAGTTTAGTTCCCATGTTTGGTTATTTTTGGAGGGAACTGTTTAGTTTAGTTTAGTTTAGTTTAGTTTAGTTTAGAAAATAATAATAAAAAAATAAAAAACTGAAAGAAAAAGAAAGAAAGCAAGGAGGAAAAAATCAATAACTATATATATATATATATATATATATATATATATATATATATATATATACGTACATTATACGTACATTATACGTACATTATGTGTGTGTGTGTGTGTGTGTGTGTGTGTGTGTGTGTGTGTGTGTGTGTGTGTGTGTGTGTGTGTGTGTGTACATTTTACTTTTCTTTTTTTCTCAGATGATGTTTAACAGAACAAGAACATTTTCACAGTATGTCTGATAATATTTTTTCTTCTGGATAAAGTCTTATTGGTTGTATTTCGGCTAGATTAAAAGCAGTTAAAAAATAACATTTTAAGGTCAATATTATTAGCCCCTTTAAGCTATACCCCCCCCGCCCCCCCCCCCCCCCCCCCCCCCCCCCATAGACTACAGAACAAACTATTGTGATGACTTGCCTAATTGCCCTGCCTAGTTAACCTAATTAACCTAGTTAAGCCTTTAAATGTCACTTTAGGCTGTATAGAAGTGTCTTCAAAAAACTTGTAAAATATTATAAAATAAAAAATCTTCTCGTTTAGGAAGAGAAGGAAAAATTTGGAAAAAACTAAACAGGAAGGCTAATAATTCTGACTTCAACTGTATAAAATTGTAGGGTCCAGCCAATTGGTCCAATGACGGTATCCAATGGTGGATGAAGGTTCACTGCATGTTCGGTCTTTCCAGTGCACAATGTTGATCTATATTAAACTTAACTCATATCTGACTCCAATTTTAGTATGAGGTGGTTTAGAATATTAATATGTTTATCCTCGTTTTATCTGACTCCAAGTATAAAACATTGAGAAGGTTATTTTGTTTCCGTTCACATTAATTTAGATTATGATTGAATATTCTCTTCGGTTCATCATTTTATGTTATTCTCGTTCATTGGGATCTCTATAACATCCTGAATCTTGTACCGGCCGAGTATACAATTTCTTAAGCACAAGCATGTCAGTCTTGGTCACTAAACAGGGGCGATTGACCGCTATCCTAAAAAGGCAGAACCCTACTTACTCAGATTAGGATATTTTTTATGCGGTCCCCATAGGTCTGCTACCTCCTAAATCAGACAGAGCTATTTAGTCATATAACGATCATTACTATAGAATTAAGCAGACCAGTCGTACTTAAACTAGTAGTAACTTTGAATAATCACTATACTATCTAAATAGTATTAAAAGTTTATCGGGTGAAGGACTATCCCCTTAGATATCCTTTTACAGCCTAAGTATACATGAATAAATGCCAATTTGTTAGTCGGAGCTCTAGAGACATCGTGTAACGTGCCGCAATGCTCCGTCTACCGTGTTCTAGTCCGCTACTAACCTGAACAGGGGCTTGTGGTGCTATGAAATTACCACAATCTACTAAAGATAATAACACGAACTCTGTTTGAATCATTCAAAACATAACAATTTATTAGTCAGGTAAATGTATTATGCCAATTCAATCAGTCAATTCATAAACGATCAATACAAAACATCAAATTATCAAAGATAAATCCAAGATGAAAAAGATGCATTCCTGACTTTGTAATATACATAACATGGGGCAGACCCCATGTTATGGGCTGATCTGGTTAGGCAGAATCGCCTTGAGCTTTTCTTAGCCCTTACCTTAAATAATCCAAGAATTCCCTCAAGGAAGGGGGTGTGAATGTATAACAAAAGGCATTCACACTTAGTGTCACACCCCTCACAGTGGTTCAAAAGATGCCTGAAGTTATATATTTATTGTTCTGATTATGTCTATTTCTGAGAGAATGAGACCATTGTACCAATCGCACTGAGACATTTCAAATGATATCAAACATGATAGTTAAAGTCTGTTTGGTTAATTCTAGAACATTCAAACATTGAAATGACCATATGTGTGAGTTGGGGGGATGAAGCAGACTCAGATGCAAATGCAGCAGGAACTGGTTTTTCCCGCATTCCTCCCTGGTGGGTTGTGAAGTCACCAGTCTCTGTTTTCAGCTCATGTTTTGAATTGTCAAAGATATCAGAATATTTGCAATATTTCAATTCTTACAAAATTCATTGATAAAAGTTAATATTTCTTGCCTTGAGGCAGGCAACAGTACTAACCCCTGAGCCACAATGCAGCCCCATTCAACTTTTAGAAACAATTTTATTAAGTGTTTACTTAAAATAACAGGATTGATTTTTATCATTTATTTTAAAAATCTGATTGATTTCCATGTGGAACAATAATTTGGCTTCATTAAAACATTTAAAAGGCCTGTTTTCAATAGTTAAAAATGTTTTACAACAATATCAATAAGAAACATGTAAATAATGTGTTTCCAAATATCAAAACAATTTCAATTGCAGTTGCAGGTCCACCAGCTCAGCCAGCTAATCCAAGCTGGTTCACCTGCCAATGAACACTGGACATCCAGTTTGGTTCCCATATTTGTTTTTCCTTTTAAATAGGGGGGACTATTTAGTTTAGTTTAGTTTAGTTTAGTTTAGTTTAGTTTAGTTTAGTTTAGTTTAGTTTAGTTTAGTTTAGTTTAGTATTCTGACATGGTGGTGCTTCACATATAACAAGAATGACATAGTTAATACAATACACATCAACACAACAGCAAGTACACAAATGGCAAGGTGGGCGAAGCAGTGGTACAGTAGGTAGTGCTGTCGCCTCACAGAAAGAACGTCGCTGGGTTGCTGGTTCGATCCTCGGCTCAGTTGGCGTTTCTGTGTGGAGTTTGCATGTTCTCCCTGCATTTGCGTGGGTTTCCTTCGGGTGCTCTGGTTTCCCCCACAGTCCAAAGACATGCGGTACAGGTGAATTGGGTAGGCTAAATTGTCCGTAGTGTATGCGTGTCTGTGGATGTTTCCCAGAGATGGGTTGCGGCTGAAAGGGCATCCGCTGCGTAAAAACTTGCTGGATAGTTTGGCGGTTCATTCTGCTGTGGTGACCCCGGATTAATAAAGGGACTAAGCCGACAAGAAAATGAATGAATGAATATATGGCGAGGCAGTGGCGCAGTAGGTAGTGCTGTTGCCTCACAGCAAGAAGGTCACTGGTTCAAGCCTCGGCTTAGTTGGCGTTTCTGTGCTTTGATTTCCCCCACAGTCCAAAGACATGCGGTACAGGTAAATTGGGTAGGCTAAATGGTCCATAGTGTGTGTGAATGTGTGTGTGGATGTTTCCCAGAGATGAGTTGCGGCTGGAAGGGCATCTGATACATAAAAAAACTTGCTGGATAAGTTGGCAGTTCATTCCGCTGTGGCAACGCTGGATTAATAAAGGGACTAAGCCGACAAGAAAATCAATGAATGAATAATATATATATATATATATATATATATATATATATATATATATATATATATATATATATATATATATATATATATATATATATAATAACAATGGCGAAACGGAGGCGAAGTGGGTAGCACGATTGCTTCTCCCTGTGTTTGCAAAGACATGCCTTTGGGGGTGAATTGGGTAAGCTAAAAATTGACAGTAGTTTACTGTATGTATGTGAATGAGTGTGTATGGATGTTTCCCAGGGATGGGTTCCAGCTGGAAGGGCATCCGCTGCGTGAAACTTATGCTGAATAAGTTGGCAGTTCATTCTGCGGTGACAACCCCAGATTAATAAAGGGATAAGCTGAAAATAAATGAATGAATAATGATCCATCGATTACTATTATTTAACTATTTATTACATAACTGAATTGCTTCAGGCACAAAAGTAAATTTATAACAATTTGTCGGCTTTTAATTATTATTTTTGTTTTAAATCACCAATAGTTTACCTTTCTAGAAAGTTGCAGGGAGGTTTAAAGGTTTTGTAGCCTATTAAATTGGTCATGGTAACACAGTGGTTATACTAATAAAAATACTTAAGAAAAGAAAAGTAAACTTGGCTTCATAAAAAAGACTAATATTTTTGGCAAATTGGATTAGCACCACAGCTTTACTGCAAAGTACAATGTTTAAACTAGTGGAGCAAAGTGCTTTTGCATTTAGCCTATTTGTGCGGTTAATTTTCCTGTAACAAACAATTTCACGAACAGGTGTTTTGCTCAAATTTACACGACCAAAAATACACACTAACCAGTTCTTAAAACTAACACTAGTGGAGGCACTGGCAGCGGTCATCTCTAATGATGTTTCCGTAACATTTCGTCTCCTAATGAGAGTATTTTTGCTGTCAGTGGGCGGGACTTCCTGTGCTGGACGCTGTGTTTATTTTTTTGCAGAGCCAAAATATCGTCCACAGAGGTAAGGCTGAACTCTTACTCGCATACACACCGGTTATATTCGTGAAATTACAAATGCACGTTTTCTCTGCAAAGCTGCACGATATGGGCGACATTTTCACATCGTAACGTCATGACATAAAGCGCTGTCATAGATCATGCACTGCGCTAACTTGAGCTGTTCGTTTTTCCGTTCGTGTACAGCTGCTGCCGTTTAACGGAGAAGCACACTGGTCAGTTTATGTGGTAGAATGTGATTTTAGAGCCGACATGATCGTCTTGGAGATGTATTCATTAAAAAGGACACTCGTGAAGCGAGCGAGCAGCATTCAGGCGGCAGAAATGCGCTGCATTGTCTATGATGTCATCATGTTCCATTTTTACTGACGCACTTTACACTTGAATTATTTCGCTACATTTGACACCGCTTTCACCCGGGTAGAGCGTTTATACGCAGAAATGTGTCCGGTTAGCTGTTACATTATGTATAGGAGAAATGCACCTGTTAACGGATCAGTCGCGCTCGAAGTAGACTGCACTGCCATGACCAAATGTGACACACATAACAGCACATACATGATTCTCATGTATTCAAGAACAGTGCACGATTACGATTAAAGACAGACACAAGTGAAGGGATATTATTGCATAATTTTTTTTTCATGTTTATATTTTTATTTTATCTATCTATTTAGATCTATTCTTATTTATTTATTTATTTATTTATTTTTATGAAGAGTTCAGATGCAAAAGGCTCTTACCGGCGTCTGAAATTTTCTTCTATAAACAACATTTCTCTCAGTCTCTTATGTTCATGTTCAGTTATTTCACTTTTTAAGACATTCATTGATTATTTTCCTTCGCCTTAGTCCCTTTATTCATCAGAGGACCACAGCGCAATGAACCACCAACTCATCCAGCATATGTTTTAAACAGTGGATGCCCTTCCAGCTGCAACCCAGTACTGGGAAACACCTATATACTCTTGCATTCACACACGCTCTTCACTGGCCAATTTAGTTCACCCAATTTATCTATACTGCATGTCTTTGGACTGTGGGGAAAACAAGCACCTGGAGGAAACCTACGCGAACACAGGGAGAACATGCAAACTCCACACATAAACACCAAATGGCCCAGCATGGGCTCAAAGCAGCAACCTTCTTGCGGTGAGGCGAAAGTGCTAACCACTAAGCCATTGTCGCCACTTTTAAGACAATAAAAATAAATTATTGTTTGCAATAGAAGTGAAATGACTAAACCTTCACATAAGAGCCTGAGAAGAAAAATACTAATTTAAAAAAAAAATTCTGATGGCACTTAGAGTCTTTTGCATTAGAACTCCATATACCTAAAAATGAATTCTATTGTCATTTTTGAACATGTTTGACATTACTTTCTTCTGTTCAACACAAAGGAAGAAACAAAAGAATACTGAAAAAAACTTCCATAGTTCTTTTTTTCCTATTAATGGCCCAATTTCCCCCCAACATTCTTCAAAACATGTTTTGTGTTTAACATAAGAAAGAAAATCATAAAGGGTAAGAGCCACTTGAGAGTGAGTAAATAATGAAGAAAACATTTTACTATATATATATTCCATAAGCAATTCCATGCAAATGTCAACTTTGCCATGAAAAAAGTATAGTTGTCACTAAAATATGGAAACTGTTTCTGGGTTTTTTGCATAAGCAAGTCTTTTACAGTGCTTTAAAAATACTCAAAAATGTACCTGTTAATGTTTTTAAACTATTATGTTTGATTTACCAAAATCACACAAGTGGTAATTTCACATCGGTCACATCCATAACCTAGAGATGTTACATCCATAACGACGCCTTTTCCTCATAAATGTGAAAATATTAAGTAAAATAAAACCAATCATTTTTGTTTATAGAGAGCCAACTCTTATCCTTTTGATTATCATTGTTTCTTTTGGGTTGTGCAGTTTAATTCACAGAATTTCTGTATGTTTTAGACTGTAAACACGCAGACTTTTTTTGTCACATAATGCATGTTTATTTTCCTCATTTAAAGTACAAACCATGTTTACAGAATACAGATTGATATTTTTCTGATCCTATAACTCTGTGGTCAGTTGTTCTGGAAAATATGAACAGATGTTTCAATATAATGTTAACATATACTCTCTGTAAATTTATGTTTTGAGTTTTTACTGCAAATGTCACATCCATAACGCTGGAATTGCTCATATACAGTTGAAGTCAGAATTAATAGCCCCCCTGAATAATTCACCCTCCTGTTTATTTTTTTCCCAATTTCTATTTAATGGAGAGAAGATTTCTTCCACACATTTCTAAACATAATAGTTTTAGTTACTCATTTCTTATAACTGATTGATTTTATTTTTGCCATGATGACAGTAAATATTATTTTACTAGATCTTTTTCAAGACACTTCTATACAGCTTAAAGTGACATTTAAAGGCTTAACTAGGTTAATTAGGTTAACTAGGCAGGTTAGGGTAATTAGGCAAGTTATTGTATAACAATGGTTTGTTCTGTAGACTATCTGAAAAAAAATTTGCTTGAAGGGGCTAATAATTTTGTCCCTAAAATGCTTTTTAAAATTTTTTAAACTGCTTTCATTCTAGCCGAAATAAAACAAATAAGACTTTCTCTAGAAGAAAAAACATTATTAGACATACTGTGAAAATTTCCTTGCTCGGTTAAACATAATTTAGGAAATATTTAAAAAAGAAAGAAAAATTCAAAGGGGGGTTAATAATTCTGACTTCAACTGTATTTTTAATGTTACTGTGGAAGTTTTACCACTACAGAATAAATAAATAAATGAATAATATTTCTGCCCTTTTGTCTCACAATTTACCACTTTGTTCTTGCAATTTACAGTTTATAGTTCACGATTCGGACCCCAACATGCTCTCATCACTCTTTAGGGGTGAAAAGAAATAGGCTGTAGTCATTATGGTTTGTTAAAATAATGTCACACAACTGAAGAATATGACACAGGTCTGTTTTTAAGTTTTAAACCTGCATGTGTGAGTTTATAACTTACATTTCTGAGACAAAAATGTCAGAACTATGAGAAGTAATATCAGAATTGCGTGATATTTAAAACTATTTATTTTACAAAATTGCAAGTTTAGTCTATATCTCCCAATTCAGAATTATTATTTTATAGTTCAGATTTTTTTTTTTTCTGAATTTCAAGAAAATAATTTATAAATGTGAGATATAAAATGGGCAACACGGTGGCACAGCAAGTAGTGCTGTCGCCTCACAGCAAGAAGGTAGATGGTTCGAGCCTTGGCTAGGTCAATTGGCATTTCTGTAAGGAGTTTGCATGTTCTCCCCATGTTTGCGTGGGCTTCCTCCGGGTGCTCCGGTTACCCCCACAAGTCGAAAGACATGCGGTACAGGTGAATTGGATAAGCTAAAATTGTGTGTAGTGTATATGTGTAATTGGGTGTATGGATGTTTCCCAGTGACGTGTTGCGCTGCGGAAAACATGTGCTGGATAAGTTGACGGTTCATTCCGCTGTGGCAACCCCAGATTAATAAAGGGACTAAGCCAAAAGAAAATGAGTGAAATGAGATATAAAATGCATTTATGTGTGGAGTTTGCATGTTCTCCCTGTGTTTTCTAAATGAGGTGTATGGGTGTTTCCCAGTGATGTGTTGCAGCTAGAAGGACATCCGCTGTATAAAACATGCTGGATAAGTTGGCGGTTCATTCCACGGTGGCGACCCCAGATTAATAAAAAGCGAAAATAAAATAAATGAATGAATGAATGAATGGATGAATGAATAAATGTAAGAGTGATATAAAATACAATTACCTATTTTATCCTATGGCCGAGACAGACTTCAATATGTTATTGTTATATAATGTGAACATTTAAAATATAAACTTCTGTCATGAAACTCTATGCACGCATAGGCTGATAGGTCACCTACTGTGTCACTAACTCCATGGTGCAGGAGATTGGTTGCTGTGCCCTCAGCAGCCAATGAGCTTGCTCATCAGCATGTTGTTTTACACTATGCTGCACGTTTTTCTAAGACTCTCTACCATCCCAGCTCTACCTGTGTTTAGATGTGCAACGGGGGTAACATATATATTATGTTTACAGCAGCGTTTTATATTCTTAGATGACATGTCTGTTTATATATACTGCAGTAGTAGGTCCCTGTACTTGCTCGGCCATAATAATCAAAGCAGCAGCAGCGTAGCAGATTTATTCCACCAAGATGAGACACATCAACATTGCCATATACATATTTTTTAAATCTCTCCAAGAGTTGTCATGACAGAATTATATTTTTAATCAAAATGGCAAAAAATCCTCAAAGAACAACTTCATTATTGTTCCAATTAAAAATGAATGTTTTTAAAAGGAAGCTATTGAGCATACATTACATCTGGAGCTTATCTAACAAAATAACTTGCAGTAACGGTCCAAAAACTAGTACACCCAAATTTAGGTTATAGAAAAACAATAAATACAAATTTTAAAAAGAGGACAAATCAAGAGAAGCAGAGAAATGGAAAAATTTAGTTGAAATTTTGTAGGTTGTATTTTTTTTGCAATATTTTGCTTGAATTTAATTGTGTTATCTTTCAATTTCTAAATATGTTTGGTGACTAAAATGTTATTTTAATATATATATATATATTTGTTTAATAAATCTGTTTTGTTTAAATGCACCAACATACATCACCTATTCACTGAGAAATGCATAAAAATATTCATCATCAAAATTATCTGTACTCAATTACACTGAGCACTGCATGTATAAGGATAATGATAACATTTTAACCAGAATATTGACCTTAATCAGAAAATTTGTGCATTTAATTTGTTCAGTGCTTAAAATATTCTTATTTTTAACAGGTCTCCCTTTCATAGTACATCTTTCACCATGCCAGACTTCTCAGTGATTCGGAGCTGCTTCCTGAGTTGCTTATTAGCGCTTCTCCAAACATCAGGCTCCCAGCAGGAGGAGCAGAACCAGCTGCTCCTGGTGTCTTTTGATGGTTTCCGCTGGGACTATATCAACCGAGTACCTACACCCAATTTCCACGCCCTTATGGATGAGGGTGTGCTGGTGGAGAAAGTGGAGAACACCTACATCACCAAGACCTACCCCAACCACTACACGTTAGTGACAGGTTTACACGCTGAAAGCCATGGCGTGGTTGCAAACGAAATGTACGACCCCATTCACAACCGTTCATTTTCCATTGAGGGTCCTGAAGTGTATGATGCGTGGTGGTGGGAGGAGGCAGAGCCGTTGTGGGTGACCAATCAAAAAGCGGGACGGAAGAGTGGAGCTGCCATGTGGCCTGGATCGGATGTAGCCATTGGTGGAACATTCCCAACGCATTACTTGAGGTATAACGCATCAATGCTCTTCGAGACCCGAGTCCAGAAACTCATTGATTGGTTTTCAGGACCGGAGGCTATCAATTTCGGTGTCTTATATTGGGAGGAGCCAGATGAGAGTGGGCATAATTTGGGGCCTGAGAGCCCGCTCATGGATGTGGTCCTCGCAGACATTGACGAGAAGCTGGGATTCCTCAGGGAGAAGCTCAAAAGTGCTGGACTTTATGACAAAGTCAATCTGATAGTGACGAGTGATCATGGAATGACGCAGTTATCTCATGATAAGATTATTGAGCTGGACACGTACGTTAGCCGAGATCTTTACACGTGGATCGACAAGAGCCCGGTGGTTGGCATTTTACCCAAAGAAGGTAAGAATGACAATGTAAACCAGAGGTGGGTAGTAACGAGTTACATTTACTTGAGTAAAATTATTGGGTAACGTGCACTTTTTGCGTTCACTAAAAGATGTGTACTTTTACTCTTACTTAAGTAAATTATTAGAGAAAAATCAGTACTCTTACTTTGCTACATTTGGCGGTGTTCCTCCGTTGCTGCCAAGTGATAATAAATATGATTCATATGACTTGTTTACAAATATAGTGAAGCGCGCATTAGAAAGGGTTGTGAGGTTGCTATAGACACGTGTCTCCTGCTTTCGGTTAGAGCGCGCGCGCCTTTGGAATAATGGCTGAAGTCTAGGAAGATGTGAGAGTTTATAGTAAACTCATTAGAAATGTAATTGGTTGTCATGGAATTTTTTATTCATATATATTCATATCCATATTATGTAATGATGTTTTTATATAAATATCTTTATTGCATTTCAGCATTACACTCAGATCATACAGAAGTAATCAATTTATGACCTCTTTTATTCACCAATCAACACATTTCCCACTCCACCACATTTTCCCGAAACAATTTGAAAGGTACCCAAACTCCCTCAACAATCCTGTTTTATAATGATGTTTTTTACTACATTTTTCTTTTTTGTACTTTTTATGTGTACATTTTTGTTTCACTCTTTTCCAAACTTTTTCCTGTGACTTTCAAACCCACAATATTTGACTAGGATTTTCCTGAAGAGTGTTCGTGAAATTGATTTGTGAAAAAAAACACTAATAATTAATTTAATCACTGACATGGACAAGTTAAATGGTTATATATATATATATATATATATATATATATATATATATATATATATATATATATATATATATATATATATATATATATATATAGTTGAAGTAAGAATTATTAGCTCCCTAAATAATTAGCGCCCCTGTTTATTTTTTTCCCCAATTTGTGTTTAACGGAGAGATTTTTTAAATACACTTCTAAACATAAGAGTCATTTCTAATACCTGAATTATTTTATCTTTGCCATGATGACAGTACATAATATTTTAGCAGACATTTTTCAAGACACTTCTAAACAGCTTAAAATGACATTTAAAGGCTTAACTAGGTTAATTAGGTTAACTAGGCAGGTTATGGTAATTAGATAAGTTATTGTATATCGATGGTTTATTCTATAGACTATTGAGAAAAAATATAACTTAAAGGGGCAAATCATTTTGTCTTTAAAATGGTGTTTGAAAAATTAAAAACTGCTTTTATTATAGCCAAAGTAAAACAAATAAGACATACACTGAAAATTTCCTTGCTCTGTTAAACATAATTCGGAAAATATTTAAAAAAGAAGAAAAAAATTTGAAGGAGGCTAATAATTCTGACTTGAACTGTAAATATATAAACACACACAGTTGAAATGAGAATTATTACATCCCTTTTGATTTTGTTTTCTTTTTTCAAATCTTTCCCAAATGATGTTTAACAGAGCAAGGAAATTTTCACAGTATGTCTGATAATATTTTTTTTCATCTAGAGAAAGTCTTATTTATTTTATTTAAGCTGGAATAAAAGCAGTTTTAATTTTTTTACTAACCATTTTAAGGTCAAAATTAATAACCCCTTTAAGCTACATCGTTATACAATAACTTGCCTAATTACCCTACGCTAACCTACTTTTAGTTAAGCCTTTAAATGTCACTTTAAGCTGTGTAGAAGTGTCTTAAAAAATATCTAGTAAAATAAATGATGTGTGACACCAGATATACATTACCGTAAGTTTGGGGTCAGTTTTTTTTTCCTGTTTTTTTTTTTTTTTTTTTTTTTAAGAAAGGGTAAATTGTTAAATACTTAGTTATTAAATATTTATTTATTGCTTACTGTATGTGGTTTCAAATTAAATTATTACTCCAGTCATTGTTTTTTATTACTATTACCATTAATACTACTAATAATAATAACAATAATAATAAATATTAGAGTGATTTCTGAAGGATCATGTGACACTAAAGAGATTGGAGTAATGAAGCTGAAAACTCTAATCTTTAAAGTTACTAGAATAAATTATTAAATTAAATTATAAACTATTTTTGAACAGTTATTTTAGTGCAATAACAATTTATAATTTTACAATTTGTATTGTATTTTTGATAAAATAAATGCAGCCTTGGTGAGTAGAAGAAGCTTTTTTTTTAAACATTTCAAAATCTTACTGAACCCAAACATTTGACCGATAGTGTGAAGTATTAATATAATTTTTTTTTCATTTTATTCACCTTTACTTAGCAAAAAGGATTGTCCTCATTGTGGTACCAAGCAATTATGTGCTTGATTAAATCTTTAAAGGGATAATTCCCCCATAAATGCAAATTTTGACATCCTTTTATCACCTTCAACCTTTCTCAAACTTGTGTGATTTTTGTAAGAAATGCTATGGGAGTCAGTGGTCACCATCAGCTGTTCAAGCTGCATAAAATTTTGGCTAGCTGTGAACATTCAATTCAATTCAGCTTTATTTGTATAGTGCTTTTACAATGTAGATTGTGTCAAAGCAGCTTCACATAAATGGTCATGTAAAATATAGTATAATATTAATTACTATTGTTGAAAAGAAAAGAAAAAAAACAGCAAAACTCATACTGCACTATTAGACATTAGCAGATTTAAATAAGAGCGTGCAAAAAAAAATTGTTCGTGCACGGTGCACATAAAAATTACAGTGAAGAATAGCCAATCATCAGTGTTATATTTTGTTAAAATTGGTGACCGATGCTTTATAGTTTTTGAGCGCTATTCTCCTCTTAACACAGGCAAACTCGAAGAGGTCTACGGTTTATTGAAGAATGCAAACCCTAACATGGTCGTGTACAAAAAGGAGGAAATCCCAGATCATTACCACTACAGACACAACGCCAGAATCATGCCTCTCATCATAGAGGTCAAAGAGGGATGGACCGTCATGCAGAACAGGAACGGATCTTTTATGTGTGAGTATTAATGTTTATATACATCATTTAAAGGTAAAGCATATAGATTCTGCAATTCTAGTATCATCTTGCAGAATAACAAAAAATAAGCAATATTTTACAAAAACACTTACACTCACTGTTTTTTTTTCTTAGGATTAATCTTATCCTTACGATGTTTTACTATTTTATATATTATTTTAGATGTTCTGGTAGAGAGAGCAGTAGCCTGATTTTCATTACTCCCTTACCAGTGGTAAGGGGTGTATCTGACACTTAATAGCAAATCAGTCATCTCTTTCCTGTAGGTGTATATTTAATTGGCAATTTCAGTTAGAAAATTGTTGCCATCTGTCTATACGCAAGTCTTTTTTCAAAGTAATGCATCAGCCTTGCTGCAACACAAACTAAACAACTTCTGGATGTTATAGTAGCCACGCCCCAATCTCCTCCTATTCTTCAAGCTGGGAAGTGATTGATAGATTTTGTCAGTCAACTCATGTCTAATCAGTGTTTACACAAGATTTATTCAGCTGCAGACGCACACACGTTTTAGTATACACAATCCAGCTCACACAATCTAGACAGTCGCTAACCATGGCTGCGTCCGAAACCGCCTACTACTTAGCTAATTACTTAGCTAATTGCCACTGTGTATGAAATGTGCTATATTAATAGCCTTGCCTTGCCTTGCCTTAGCAGGTACTGCTTTTAAATTTAAATGTACTGCTCGGCCGTTAGAAAAAAGCGTTCGATACAGGATGAATGTGAGGAGTATGAATGAAATTCGGACATACTACATCCACCATTTTGTAATGGTCACGGGACCTAACCACGTCAGTCGCGGCGCTTCACTCCCATTCATGAATTCTCTCACGGGGCATCATGGGATAGCGCAGCGTGCATGGGATGCACACTTCAGAATCTCTTCTCAAAAGTAGTAGGTCATCCGGGGATTTTTCAAATACTATTTTTCAACTTCTATGAATTCGGACATACTACTCACCTTGCATACTGATTTTAGTGTACTATATAGTATAGAAGTATGCGGTTTTGGACGCAGCCATATATGGATAATGAAGGATCAGTCTTCTTCAATTTTTTCTTGTTTAACGACAACCAACTCTTGAGGAGCATTATCGCCACCTACTGAATTTCACAAATATGGCAATCGAGACCGTCCGTGCTACGATTGCCAATCATTAGACTCTGAACAGTTTAGGGTTTCCCATTTCAGTCATTATTTCAATATTATATCATAACAATCATTTTAACATCAGTGCACTTTTAAAGTTATGTAAATAAAAATAATTAGTTAAAGCACTTTTAACTTTATTCACGCATCCACATACACAAGGAAAACAATTGTAGGAATTGTAATTCTAGGATAAGTGTAATAAACTAATTTAGGATCTTAATGTTGTCTTAGTTAAAATCGTTTTGTAGTAAAATATAAAAAACAAACAATAATGCGACACATTAAAATCAATTGCTATAGTTGATTTACCTGTTAGCCTAAAATCAAAGTAGTATAAATATTTTGAATAGTGTTCTTAAAATGTGGTTAAAAACAAACAAGTAGTGTTTGCACAAATAGTTTACTATTGGTTTGTTGGATCATGTCGCCTTTGCTTTTACCTTCAGTATTTTTCTGTAAAGAATTATAATGTTGTGTATATTTATTTGTTATATTTCCATTTTGTCAAGCCTCCTGCAAGTTTGCAAGTTTGCATTTGGTTGTCCAGTGTAATTGTGATGTCCATGTCAAATAAAAAAATAAATAAAAAAATAAATAAATAAAATAGTTAATAATGTAAAATACTGATAATAGTTGATATAATATATAGTAACTATATAAAGTATATAATATAGTATATAATATAAAGTATATATCTATAATAGTTATATACTGATAAACTACTTTATATTTTATCAAACTGTAGCAACTGTTAGTAATATATATATATATATATATATATATATATATATATATATATATATATATATATATATATATATATATATAATTAACATTTCATTTGTTAGTATTACTATATTTGTTGCAACTATATTTACCAGTACATTACGGTTTAAAAATAATATATAACTTACTATAAATTACTATTGTATTTCATGTGGGAAAACATTCAATAAAATTATTAGATATTTAAGCAAATAAATACTATTCAGTCGTTGAAATAAAATATTAATATAGTGTTTTACATTTACTGACTGATCATCTTTATGATGACTGATAGAAAACGGTTCAGTCAATTAAAATAAATGGCAATTGGAAACAATGTTCTCCATTCGCCCGTCTCGATCGCCATATTTGTGAGATAGTATACACTATTGTCTATTGTGTACACTATTTATTAACAATACATATAAATATATTGATGACAAGGTCCGAGAAGATGTTATTAACTTTAACATCCGTCTTAACCATATATGTTAGCCTCTGCCTAGACGTTCACCCCTGCCTGCTGAAATGTCTGTGGGTCTGCAGGTCTTCAACTGGATATTATTGTGGTTTACACTTGTGTGGATATAAACCAATGAACGTCTGTTAAAGGGATAACTCACTCAAAAATAAAACTCATCATTTACTCAGCCTTCACATAAGCCAAAGATGTTAGAGAAGATATTGGGAAGAAAGCTGGAAACCTGTAATCATTGACTTCCATGTTGTTTGTTTTTCCTTCAATGGAAGTCAATGGTTTTTTAACTTCTTTAAAATACGAACAACAACAAAAGAAACTTGTAAATTTTACTAACAACTTGTGGGTGAGTAACATTTTTTGGGTGAACTATCCCTTTAATCCCTGTGTTAATGAAGAATTAGATTGGGTTGAAATGATAGATTTGACTTCGTTTTTACATACAAACAGTACACAAATAGATTAAAGGGATAGTTCACCCTAAAATGAAAACTCTGTCATTATTTACTCGTCTTTAAGTGGTCCCTATTTTTCTGTTGTACACAAAAAAAGTACACCGAAGAATGCTTGATATCCATAGTGGCAAATAAAACATTATTATAAACAAATCAGAAACAAGCAGATGGTGAATAAATGACAGAATAAATTTATTTTGAGTGAATCGTCCCTTTGTTGTTAATATTGCATCTACTGATCAATGTAAAACATGTTTGCAGCTGTATATAGATGATATTTTTGCTTGGCAGTGGGAAACCATGGTTACAACAACAGCCTTCCCAACATGCACCCAGTGTTTGTCGCCCGCGGACCTGCTTTCCGCCGCGACTACACCAAAACCTCCATGCGCTCGGTCGACCTCTATCCTCTCATGTGCAGCATTCTCGCTCTCAAGCCCTTGCCCAACAATGGCTCTTTGTCCAGCGTTCAGGATCTGTTAGTGGAAACCTCCACCCCAAAGCCAACAGTAACGCCAGTTCCCAGAGGGCCAATGGTACCGCCAGTTCCCAGAGAGCCTTCCTACGCCTGGGCTGTGGGATGCATTCTGGGTGCTGGCCTGGTCATCGGGTTCCTCTTCATCTTCGTTAAGCAGGTGACACAAAGGCAGCTTCCGCCATTGTATTTGTCCAATAGTGAGATCACGCAGCCCTTACTGTAAGCTCACTTTACTCACGCCAGGTTCTCCGGTATGTAGCACTGAGCTTTTCTCCAGTGATACAGACCTTTTTTGAGTCTAAAATCATTCTGATGACACTTTTTAAGAAGAAAAGCATGGTCGCTTGAAGTCAGAAGCGATCAGTGTCCATGGTACCATGCCAAAGTCGAATATACCAAAAGCAATATGGGGAACAATGCTACAGTGGAGAAAGGCTGTGCAATTATATATATATATATATATATATATATATATATATATATATATATATATATATATATATATATATATATATAAAGTTAGTTCACCCATAAATGAAAATTGGATGTAATTTATGCACCATCAGGGCTTTTAAGATTAAGGTAGAACATGGAAGAAGGTTTTTGGTTGAAACTGTGGTCCTTGGTGATTCTAGTTCAGTGTTTCTCAACCATGTTCCTGGAGGAGCACCAGTACTGATGTTCTGGATGTCTCCTTGGTCTGTCACACTCATTTCAGGTCAGCTTACAAGCTGTTGATCTGAATTAGGCGTGTTTGGTTAAGGAGACATGGAAAATGTGCAGAGCTGGTGGTCCTCCGGCATAGTTATGATGAGAAACACTGTTCTAGTTAGTTTACCGACACTTTAAGAGTCAAAAACAAAACAAAACAAATTATATATATAGGAAAAGCTAAATGGCATTTGTTTTTATAAGACCTCAGTGTATCGCCTGGAGCCACAAGAGTTTCATAACACTGCTTTATGAAGCTATGAAATATTTACAAATCTTTTTCTTTTTTTCGGATCAGTGGTTCGGATCGCATATCAAATAATCATGTGATCAAGGTCATGTGATTTCAGTAAACGGGGCTTTGTCATATCATGACTTTTTCCAAATGTTTCAAAAAAGTTTCTTTGAGGTATTACTAAGATAATAGTTTTTACCTTATCTCGGATTAGTTTTCCGAGTTTGTAGACGTTTTAATAAAGCATTTATAAAATAAAAAAAGATTTAATGTGACCGTTAAATGAATGAAAATAAAAATAATATCAATTAATAGTCTCTTGTTGGCCTGATTTGCTGAGCTCACAATGGAACAAGCGTAAGCTGATAAAACATACACCAAACTGATAAAACATACACCAAATGTTTAGTGATATTAGATGTAAAGCTGTTAATCTAAGTGCTTTCATAGGTTATACTTTCAATTTAACGACTACAATATGTTTGAAAAAGCCCTTTTTAAAGCATACTTAAGCTGTTTCTGTTGTATTTACGTGGTTTTGACCAGCAGTTTTTTTTTACATTTCAAAACAATAAATCAATTTGTAAAGTAGTTTGTTCAGTTGTTTCAAAGCTATTAAAAGCTTATTTTCTCCTATCACTAGCCATGTGTACAAATAAGTACTATATTAAAGTCTGTGTGAACCGGAAATTGCTGAGACTGAACACTGAGTAAGGGGCGGGCTTTCTTTTAGCTCGTCATTCGCTCAAACAATACGAGGGGCGTGGTTAAGAACGTGGTGTGAAACTGATGTCAACAGAAGGACCGCCACTCCAAAAGCTGAAGCAAATTGCTTGCACGAATTAATTGTTCACCGAAATAATAACAATGTGCGCTAAAAAACAAACATTGTAAATTTTGATTTCACACACACTTTAGTTTTAACTGTACATCTTTTTGACACTTAAAGTGCTGGTAAACACTGGCTTACATTTTATAAATAAGCAAGGACCAGTTTCATCTTAAAATGTACTTTAATGTTGAACTGAAGACATGAAAAAGTACATCATGGCCTTATAGATGAAGTAAATTAACAGCAAAATTTCATTTTTGGTTGAACTTTCCCTTTAAGATCAAAACTGACTAAGCCAATAGTGCCCTCTTCTGGTAAAACCGTCAGTGATACCTTTATGCTTGTCATCTGAAATCGAGTATTTAAAGAGACGTTAGCATCCCCATGCTTTTCCTTTCAATTTGAATCTAATATTTATTTCGCAAGAGTAAGATTTGCCCTATTCTCATGAATCTGCATTCATTGCAGGAATATTCTGAGTTCACATCAACAGCGTTTGCGGCGTAATGTTATCACAAAATATTGTTCATGAAAAAGATCTAGGAAACTCCTACAATGCAAGTAAACACAATAATAGGAAATCTATAATCAAATGAAAGAAAAATAAACCAAACAGTTTATATTATAAACTAGTTTTTGGTCTGATTTGTACATTTTATAAATTTGTTCTCATGACGATGGGTGAGAAAACTAAAAATAGACCACTCAAATATGGACATTTCAGCTTCAATCAATCAATCAATCAATCAAGCCTTTATTTGTCACTACACTTTCGTATAGCGAAAATTGGACCCCCCAGACCATACACAAAACATCACAAACAACTTTTCAGGGGAGACAGATCTTAGGAGGTAGCATAACATTTCTGATTTTAAACCATATGCATTTTAATAAACAGAAAGTTCTACATTTATCCAGAATTTATTCAAACCAGAAATTTATTGTAATATTGTAAATCTCACTCAAAGAAATATGTTTGCTGTTTGTTCACACTACATATATAAAAATGAGTTGAAACAAAACAATTCTTGAGTTTTTTTTTCAGGGATAACTTAATTGTTTTATGTTCAATCCACTTATATTTGAAAAAAAAAGAAAAAAAAAGTTAACCTAATTAAATGATGTGGAACCCAGCATTATTTACAGTGCACTAAAAAAAACTATTTTGCTGTTTTTTGGGACAACTTAATAGTTTTAAGTTCAATCCACTTAAATGTATAAAAACTAATGTTAACTTTATTACTTCATGTTTTCCCAACTCAAATCGCTTATTTGAAACCCAGCACTTTTTGCAGTCAATATTATTTGCTGTAAAAAATAAATAAATAACATTTTTGCTGCTTGTTCAAACTACTTATTTAAAACGAGCTGGAACAACACATTTTTTTTTAGTTTTTGGGGGGTGGTTAACTTAGTTGTTTTATGTTTAACTTACTTAAATTTGAACTTAATTCAGTAGTGTGGATCCCAGCATTTCACTTAAAAAACAAACAATTTAGCTGCTTGTTCAAACTGCTTATTTAAATTGACCTGAAACAACATATTTCTAGATATTTTTTTAAGACAACTAAACTCTTTTATGTTTAATCAACTTAAAATTGTAAAAACCAATAAGTTAACTTAATCAATTTGCGTTGCGACAACATGAAGGGATTGTGTGGAACCCAGCATTTTTTTTACAGTTTGACAGTCAATAATATACACTGTAAAAAGTGCTGGGTTCCAAACAGTCGATTTGTGTTAGGACAATATGAAGGAATTAAGTTTACTTATTAGTTTTTTTTTTAATAAATTTAAGTGGATTAAACTTAAAACAGATAATTTGTCCAAAAAAAACTCAAAAATGACTAATTTTAGCTCATTTCAAACAAGTTTGAACAAGTTTTTTTTTTTTTTTTGACTGCACTGTTAAAAAATGCTGGGTTCCACACAACTGCATTAACCTAAATGATTGGTTTTTAGAAATTTAAGTGAATTGAACATAAAACAATTAAGTTGTCCCAAAAAAAACCTCAAGAAGAACCCGTTCAGTTTGTAAATGTATAATTAAAAAACTAAATTTGTTTCTTTTAAAATGAGAAAATCCATTAAAATCAGTGTTCCTCTTGATCATCTTACGCCCCAAATGCTGCTGTTGATATTGTATTGAACCCAGAATACTCCACTGACTCAGCATTACGCATATTTAGGGTCGTGATCAAAAGGGACATTAGTAGCAATTGTTATTTTGAATTTGTTGTTTATTCTGATACTCATCATATTTTTGTTTGTTATTAGTTAAACGCAGTTGTTTAAGTTGGCCGAGTAACGTTAATAAGTGTTATAAATGAAAAGAAGCTGGTAGTTGTCGGACTACCTTCGTGTTGCACTAAGATCAATGTAAGCTAATCAGGATAGAGAGAGAGATGATTTATTAGACTAGTTGAATATTTTAGCTTATCTGCGTTTTGCACAATGTAACAGCATTCAAAATTTCTATATAAAAAAAGGAGTGGGTGCCAAAATGATTTAAGATTGATATTAAGTAGTAAACAGTAGGTCCTGAGTTCTTGTATTTTGTACTTTTTGAAAATAGCATTTAACAAAAAGCCCTGTGCAGGGCAAAACACTGTGATCCGTCTTCTACTGGTGCAAAGACTAAAGGGAAAATAAATATTTACGCTCTTTGATATAAATGTCGCTGAAATAGTGGTAGGTAGCTGCTTGCAGAGTGTTAGGATCGTTTTGTGTTATTAAGGAGGAAACGATGACTTTCTATATGGACGTGTGCTGAGGACTGTTGTGTTTGTGTTAAGTATTTCCTCTCATTTACTAGATTTGTCTAACATGTTTTGGATTTTATGTATTAATGTCTGATTTTTGACCTGTCCCATAAGATGAAACATTACTTTACATGTGCTACGTTCAAGGTGAATAAATGCCTGATTTGGAAACTCCAGTTTGTTGTGGTACTTTGTTGGGGGGGGGGTTATTGACTGAAATTACTGTATGTGTGTATGTATGTATGCATGTATGTATGTATGTGTGTGTATATATATATAGCAATGCGATATGGCTGTATATTGGCACTGGTGGGAGGCGTGCGTTGTTAGTGCCCCCACCTGTGCCGATATACAGCCATATCGCATTGCTACTCGTGTGATATTGCGTTTATACAACAGTTTTATGGCATAATTGTTTATACAAAAACAAAATCAAACATGGAGAGTCTCAAAAACCCTTTTGTATGAGGTACTACTTTCTTCTGCGTTGGATTGAAATCATAAGCTGGCTCTATGTGGGCGGAGTAATACACAAAGGGTAAAGAGGCTGTACAGGTGCTGATATTATTTTTTTTTGAAACTTTTTATTTAAGATTTTTCTATATATTTATTTTACAGAACAACCCCTTCCCCAAAATTTTTTACCCCTTACACACGAGGGGGTACCTAAAAAAAAATAAATAAAAATAAATAATGAAATTATAATAATAATAAAAAATAAAGAAGAAAATAAAAAAAATTAAAATAAAAGGTGTTGCCATCATAATTACTTTCCAGGGGATACATCTGTACATCAAGTTACATTGTATTGCATAGTTACATCAAATAACAGTCATGTTAAGGTGAGGTTAAGCAATTTCTAAATATACATATCCAAATATGTCGTAATACTTTTCCACCTCCTTAGAAAAATATCAGTTTTCATCTGTAGACATGCAGTCATTTTTTCCATTATATAGACCTGTTTAAGTCTCTGAATCCACTGAGACACTTTTGGAGAACTTTCTTCCATCCAATGTACTGTTATCATTTTTTTTGCAACCAGTAATAATATCCTTAGGACAAATCTTGCTTCCTTATCAAACATCTCTTTGGGCAGTGCTCCCAGTAAACACAACTGGATCGAGGGGTATCTCCCTATCTAATATATTATCTATTTCTTTTTTAACATTTTTCCAAAACTCTTGAATTGTGCTGATATTATTTAAATACATCACGGCTATCAGCCAATCAGATTCGAGAACCAGACAGAAGTGTTGTATAAATATATATATATAAAATCGGGAGACAATGTTCATCCACACGATGGTGACAGAGACCGCATAATAAGCCCTAATAGAAAAACAGCGTCATTTCAAACTACAGCTGATACAATAAACAGGTTTAAATGACTTTGAGTAGATCTCTCTCTTTTGTATGTTGTAGTGCTGTATTTATTCCATAGTAATATTGTGATCTCCCGATTGTACTGGGATATCTCTGTAGACTGATGGCATTTCATGCTGTTCAGCCTTCAGGCTCTTACACACCGAGACGCGTTCGTTTGCGTTTTACGAGACGTTTTTCCGCATTCAAACCCAAGCGATTTTAACTGCCGTCAAGCAAAAGAGTATGCATAATTACTCCTTGAGGTTAGATGGCGCTACACAACTTTAAGCTTCTGACACCCTATTTATAACACAGA